TATTGAGCAGGTGTTGAGTTTATTTTTATTATTGAGCAGGTGTTGAGGTTATTTTTATTATTGAGCAGGTGTTGAGGTTATTTTTGTTATTGAGCAGGTGTTGAGGTTATTTTTATTATTGAGCAGGTGTTGAGGTTATTTTTATTATTGAGCAGGTGTTGAGGAGGTTATTGTTATTATTAATGATCTGAATTGACCGTCACATGAAGTCTTGAGTGTTTTCTGGAGCTTTCTAAAGAGGCTTCGTATTGCGTCATATCATCAGGGTTCAACAGTAAGATTATAATTCTGCTATTATTGAAATGATCTTTAATAAAAGATCATAAACAAATGCTTTTTAGTTGAAAAACGTGCTGTTGTGTATCGGCCACCATTCATTCCACAGTCAGAGCATCTTTCACAGCTGAGTGAAGTTCAAAGAGCTGAAATATGAGACGCGACAAGACGAGACGGTGAAACATCAGAAAAGATCAAAGTGATTCTACAATAATAAAAAATAAAAAATGTAATCAAATGTAATCAAAAGCTGTAATAACAGTAACAGTAGAGAAACCGCTTGAAACACAAACTAAATTAATACAATTATACAATTTATTTACAATAAAATAAATGATCAATTAAAAAAAAAATGTAATTGAATACAACTATGCAAGTTAAATACAATAAAATAAGTGAAAAATTAAATAAAAATTAAATAGAATTACAGTTTTTAACTTGAACAAAATACAATATGTGAATAAAATAATTTTATAAAATACAGAATAATTATTTTTATCAACTTTAATGAGAAAAAAATGTAAGAAGATCAAATAATAAAATAGATTCACATTTTTCAACTTATTTATAATAAAATATGTGAATAAGATAATGAAAAATACATTAAATATATTAAATCAAATGTAATCCGAAGATATCAATAATTTATAAAAGAAAGTCTCTCGTTGTTAATCAAAGGTCTGGCTGAGGTTTTACCTTTAAAGACTTTAACTCTTCCAGCAGCTCGGAGCTAAAAGCTCAAAATAGAGATTTTATTCACCCAAAGTATTTACAATAATTTAGATAAGTAATAAAACAAGCCAAAGGGACAAATTAGAACAACTATATAAACTTAACATCATCTCTCTAAAGTCTAAGCACAGCTTGATTGAACAGAACTCTCATCAACGACATGACTACATGTACTCTGCTGACCGCTCCATCGTTGATTGAAGGGGAGGGCGGACGCTCCTCCTCTGTGGTGCAGATGTAGTGGCTCCTGAGAACACCCCTCTGGCTGTGGTAGAATGGAACAGTCCAATTGTCCATTCTAATCTACTAAACCAGGTGTGACGCAGCGGCTAGGTCTAAAGACAGAAGGATGGTCGGCTGACAGGAAAGTTAGTAACACTTCTTATTAAACATAACTTAATTTTACGCTCAATCTAGAAATATAAAATATGAAGATGTTTCACTTTGTCAGCAGAGATAAACTCAGAACTCCACGTTCAATCAGGAACAAAAGCAACGACGAACGCTGTGGAACCTTTGTTAGTCTCGACTGGCTTTAAAAGTTTCAAATGAATAACAGTGATGATGATGATGATGATGATGAATCTGAGTCACATGACAGAGATGCTGCCTATGATGTCATTAACATGGAGGCTCAGGAGGTAGAGTGGTGTGTGTGTGTGTGTGTGTGTGTGTGTGTGTGTGTGTGTGTGTGTG